TTCCTGTTTTCCTTTCCTACTATTATTATTTTGGTGAATTGATTTTCAAAATAAATTTACTACGCTGAGTCATTCTCTCATACCCTACTGAGTTATCTGTACCGTAAAGATTTTAAATGAAAGAATTATTAACATGCTTACCTTATGTGACTCTTAAGTTAAAACTCGTCGTTTCATTCGGTATTTTACTATTCTTAATAGTTGTCATATTTCACTTTAATTAATTTTTAAACTTAAACTCCTTACCCTAACTGATGTTTTTAGTTTACTTAAAAAGAATTGTTATTATGTTTTAATTTAATAAATTTTATATTAAATTTAGTAGCTTATCTGATACTTTATTTTATTTAAAAATATTATTTTCTTCACCCAAATGATTTCTAAAATAAACTCATTTTCTCATTTAATTCCTACTTGGTTCAGAAACTGTGATTTTAATTTATTGTATATAAATAGATCCCTCGAATCTTCTTTATTAGCATTTGACACGGATACTATGTACCTGGTAGCACGTGAATTTTGCCGTGCGAAAGTGATTTGGAAATGTGGGTACAAGGTGCCATGTGTGTTATGTTTGGAAGTTGTGACTTATGATTTGAAATTACGAGGAGTGGTACCTGGGGTAATTCTTGTTGAGATTCGTGCATTAGAAATGATTTGATTGATTGAGTTGTCATCGGTTTCCCTTACTTGAATTCATTCATATTTCACATGTACCCCGACTATGTTGTTGCTTAATTACTTGGTTGTTTCTCGTTGCCATTCGTGCTCCCATTATCTTTACTGTGATTGTAATTTGTGATCCTTCTGCTACTGGCCTTACATTGACGTTCTTTCCATTGTTGGCTTTAAGTTATATCTTGCACAGGTTTACATGTCTGGTAGGTGTCTTGACCCGGCCTCGTCACTACTCTACCGAGGTTAGGCTTGATATTTACTGGGTACCGCTGTTGTGTACTCATGCTACGCTTCTGCACATTTTTGTGTAGATCCAGGTACTTATGGCCGAGTTGGTTGGAGACTTAGAAAATATATTATAATTAGACTATTTCTAGAACTATAATATGTGAAAAAATGTAGATTAATTAACAGTACGTTTAACGTAATGCAAGGGTAATTAATGAATTAGTCTAGATTCACAAGCAGAGGGGTCAAAAGTGCATATGTTTTAATTAATTGAAGGTTAAATATGTTTTAAAATTATGTTACAATGAAATGACCAAAATCAAAATTTGCCAATATTTCAATCATGAAGATTAAGGAATCCATTGATCGCCTTGAATGAAATTATGGACAGAGTATGAATAAACATGTTGAGCTAGGATTTGGCTACTCCACAACACTCGTTCTTTGGCATTGGCTGCAGCTCCACCAGTATTTTCGAATTCTCCGTAGTAAAGAGTTTTCAAAGCAAATTCACCACTCCAAGGCATCCATCCAGCAGGATTAATAAGATCCCCCAGTTTACATTGTATAAAAACTGTCCTGGAATACTCCTTCCACGGCCTTCCAAGGAAAGTTTTGTGTACACTAGCATTACTGTAGTACAACTTCATATATTCTTCAGTTCCATCGATTGAACAATTGTGGAAGACGAATCCCGTTGATTGTCCTGGCTCTATTCTACCATGAGCAGTTATAGCATTGGTTTCGCCATTCTCTGGATTTACTAGCCGAGGGGCGACTAGGATGTCACAGTCTTGGAAAAAGGCAGCCGCGTTTCCAAAAATGAAGTCTATATTGCCTTGGATGCGACAAGATTTGTAATACTGTCGCAATGAATTGAGATAAAGTGTGTCCTGATTGCCCAGAAATTCGCAATTTTCTACGATAGAATGATCACTGCTGGATCGAAAAGCTACGGCTTGTTGAGCATCAAGACCTGCTGTGTTTTGAATGGTTAGATCCCTAGCCATGAATCCATCACCAAGTACTCCTGTTTTAGAACTCCCAAAAAAAGGGAACATCAGAACAATTTATGAAAGCACCGAATTAAAGATCATAAAGTATATGTTCTAAAGCAGATGTTCTACAGATTTCATCATAATTTTTGGACTGCTTATATTCCTTGAAATCATGTATAGTAGGCTCATTGATGAACGAAGCTAGGAAAAAATGTGAACACTTAAATGTCAAAGTACTATGACCATTTATCTCAGAAGTATTTGATAACTTTTCGTTTTCAAGTTTTTATTGGAAGTGTGATAAATTTCTTGATAGTGTAGCATGATTTTTGTAGCATTTTACTTTATAAGGACAATCACTATATAAGAACATCCTTCTATAAGAGAGAGTCTTTAATTGAGCAAACTGGTCAAAAATAAATGCAGCCACAATGGACTGTATACTATTGTAAGAATAGCTCCCCTTAACCCCCGTGCTCCTCGTGGGCAGTCTAAAGGGTTCGACAAAGCCTCTGTAAAAGGGCTGGCTTATGCATGCATCATCTTGTATAGCAATGAAAAACGAACTAGTACTACTTCATGTTCAAATTATTCCTATTTTAAGAACTATTTTTGCAGCCATACTCATTAAGAAAATTATTTAATTATAAGGATTATTAGATTAAGTTACCATTTTACCTCTCCTCAAAATTTTTTGATCATTTATTGAAGCAAGAGTAAATTTGAAGGAAAAAAATACTACCCGCCTTGATTTTTAAACACTTATCTGCCAAATTAGAAAGGCACATTTAAAATGGACCGTAGGACAGCACAGTTTTATCCACTAGTTCGGCGAGACGTACAAGTTTGCCGGTGCATGATTTATGAGCATTAAATTCTAACACGGAGGCGCCAAGCTCATATTTTTTGTCTATGTTATGCATAAAATAAAATAATTAAAACATTAGTAGATGTGTTTATACTGTATTTGTGGTCTTGAAATTACAATTAGAAAACTTTAGCCTATCACAATTGTCGATTTTTTAGGATGAAATTTGAACTTGATTAGTTTCATCGTTGTTAAAAGAAAAATTGGTAGAATTATTAAATAAATATTTACAAAAAGATCCTATCGTCAAACAAAATGATCAAATGGAATGAACCACCAAGATCCAATAATTCACTTACCGACCGTAGCAGATTCAAAAGTGGTTGTTGCCCATGTAACCAACATTTAATGATCCCGTAATAACAGTTTTGCCCATTCCATCTCCCAACAATACCACATTTCTCTTCGCCAAAGGGATCCTAATAATCTCATTATACAATCCTGCCTTGATCCATATAACAAATTTCTCATATACCAAGTAGTTCGGCGCTGCATTCACCGCCTCCTGCACGGTTTTATAGTCACAATTTCCAGCCTTGCAAACCGTCATATTCGACTTCAAACTCGAAGGTACCCCGCCCTTGATATACATTCTGGCCAAAACTTAATATAATTAAGTAATTAAAAATATATTTGATCTAACAATTTAAATTTTGAAATAAGGTGAATACACAAATTCAATACCTGGTCCCCCTAACACCTTCCCAAAATCCGTCACGCTCTGTCTTTGGCGGACCCCATGATCCGGTTTTGCTCCCATGAATGTCGTAATTCATGATCATCCCCAAAGCATTGCTGGTGAGCCCAATCAAGGAATCCACAAACACTATAGTTTTTCTCACTTGAACGGTGTCGTTCACTTTTTGCAAACCCGACGAGCAGCCGTGTTGGTACCCCAGCGTGGCACTCATCCATGCACGAGCGTCCTTGATTTTACCACCTGGCAATGCATGATCAGCTGTCTGTTTGAATCTGTACTCCGAATACTCGAGTCCCTCCATGCAATTTTTCGCGGCGACCGTGAGGTTCAGATTTCCAGCCGAAACATTCAAGATATCCTTCACCATGGCCTGGGCCTTCGTAAGTTTTTGTGAGGAGAGGCCCAAGGCCAAATGGATTATTTGAAGTGTTGTAGGGTTGGAAGGCAAGTGATGATGGAATGAAGCCTCGCATGTTGATGGTTCGCGTGAGGCCTTGCAGGCTCCTCGAATCTCAGGCGGAAAATGGAGGTGATGGTGATCATGGTGATTTTTGGCGTAAGAGAAGGTGAAGAATAAAAGGAGGGAGAGAATTGCCGGAGAGAAATGAGACGCCATTGAATTGGATTAATTGCGAGATGGTTTGGAGTTTGTTCGAAGTTTGGTATTTTGCATGGTTTAATTTAGTGGATCAATGGTTGTAAAAGAAGTGTTTGACCAGTGTTGAATTTGGTGAATGGCGAGGAATGTGAAGATTGGGTTCTGTTGAGGTTTTGGGGTGCAGGGGCTTAGGCTTGGTGAGAGCTTCACGTGATTGAGGAAAATAGCCTCGTGTGTGTTTTAGACATCTGCCTTATAGGTGTCGGTAGTAATAAATTGGATCACCACGAATCGAAAGAAAGGATTTTATGAATCAAAAAGAACTTTTATTTCCGAAATTTTTGAAAGGTGAGATGAACTGTGAATGAAACAACGAAAAAGAAAGACCTTTGAAGACCGCGTTAAATGATGCGGCATGGAATTGTTCAACTACCACTATGGTCTATGAAACTAATACATTGTGTTGAAGCGCAAATGCTTTAGTCGAAAACACAAAGTGCCAAATTTGCCTTTTTAGGTTGAAAACTCAGTCAAAGTTCAAGTGGAAAACGTTTTTTCCAACATCGAGATTTTAGCTGCTAAAGCATGTTTAAGTTCATTTCTCAAATATTACAAGGGATCGTTTAGCTTATAATCTAGTTATAATGCACTAATTACTGTTGGTGCCATTGGTGAATAAAATGCATGAATTGTTATATAGATACTGCATAATATAAGAACATTTTTGTCTTCAGATACTATTCTTATTCCACATGTTATCTCGTATAAAATAATACGTATACAAGTTATACTGAAATTAATACTACAGTTTCTAGTTTCCGATATCAAACTCCACATAAGTATTAGTATAATATCAAAAATCAAATGTTGTATTAGTTATGCATAAATTATATTAGTAATGCAGCATTTTGTACCAGAAACCAAACGCTATATAAGTAATAAATAATTTTATACATAGATTATATTTTCTTATACTGCAAAACAAATGACCCCTAAAAGTATTGGGTTTGGATGGGTGAGCGGCTGTGAGTGGGTGAATATGTTAGGGGCAAGAAGAGAAATGTAGAACATAAAGGAGCAATACCGTCGAAAAAAGTAACTCTTGGCTACCTAGTTTTGCACTTCAAAGAAAAGCTATGAAAATTCCTAGGGAGAAGAACTTCTAGTACCCACTAACATGTATCCAGCATCAGAATTTATGATGAATTCCGGGATATTATATGCTTATATCCATGGCTTTCTGTAAAGAGAGCGCACTCCATTCCTTCAACACTTTGAGTGCCAAGTTCTTGGAACAATCTGCAAAAATGAGCTATGTTAGTGTTAAAATGCTACAAAACAGCAATCCAACTTCCAGCTGCTGAAACAGACCTCTTTTCTTTATTCCTCTTAAGACACTGCAGCTTCAGTATTCCATGTGTCACCAATTAATGTGCCAACCATCTCTCCTTTAATGGCTTTAGCAATGTTACCTGGTTTATTGAGATTAAAAACGACAACTGCATAATGAAAAATAAGATTGGAAAGGTCAGCACTTAATTAAAAGGGAAAGGCTCGTCAATGACACGTCTGGAATCATCCACAAAAAGGTAAGGGATACAAGGGTAGGAAACCTCGTACCTGGAATGTTGTTTTCTTGGCACAAAGTTATTGCAGTCAGGTCCATCACGGAGAGCTCCTTAGAAATTACATCATGGTAAGTCAGGTTATCCTGAAGTCGAGCGTCAGGATTATGCCTAGGGTTATCATCATAGACTCCATCAACGTTGGTTGCCTTCAACACCACCTCAGCATTAACTTCAATGCATTCAAAATTTTATTGGTAAGAAACAAAAACAAAAAAAAAAAAAAAAAAAAAAAAAAAAAAAAAAAAAAAAAAAAAAAAGGTAACGTGCAATCTTATATATGTTCCAGTAGTAGAGCCTCATTTGTCTCATAGACCACATCATGGACGAGAACCATATGGGGACAAACTATTCAATCAGGTCCAATGTTATGCGACATTTCCATTTAATGGGAAATAAATATTACTAGTTAACATTTAGGTGCTGACGTGGGCATACAATGAACTTGGTATATTCTTAGCCGAATAGTTTCACATGATCCATGAAGAATTGATTTTAAGAAAATTATCACCTCTGAAGGAACTTTAGTCATTATCCACTCCGTTTGGAATGTCTTTCAAATATAGGACAGTTTACGTTATGGAGAGCTTGTAACATTTGCTTCTTATTTTTGCTTTCTATTTTCTCCAATTTAGAAAGGAAGAATGATAGTTTGCAGAATCCACTTCAATTTGCAAGTATGTCAAAGTTCCATGCATGTAGAAGATCTGAATCAGGAAAAAAGTAGAACTCACTCTCTGCACAACGCAAAGCTGCAGCAGTGTCTGTTGTGAAGAAGGGATTCCCAGTTCCTGCTGCAAAAATTACTACCCTCCCTTTCTCGAGATGCCTAACAGCCCTTCTACGGATATATGGTTCAGCAACTTCCGACATTCGAAATGCAGTCTGGACTCTTGTAGGGATTCCAATGCTCTCCATTGTAGCTTGTAAGAATATTGCATTCATAACAGTTGCCAACATCCTGAAAGGTAAGCGATAAAACTTTCATATTAAGAATAATACCAAATTTTCTCAAAGTGATCTCTCTCCCATTCATCTTCGGTACGCACTGATAACTCATAGGACAGGTTAAACAAGAAGTGATACCACCATTCATTTAAGTCAAAGATGAAGAGTTTCAACCTGACCAACTTAAAGAACTGATCTACTCACTCCAGAAGAGCATCAACAAACAAAAGCTTTGTTTCAAGTATATGAGCCTGAAGGTCTGAAGTCCCTAGCAATGCGAATCTTGGTTTGAACACAAATATAAGGAAGACATTTGGATTGAAATCAAGAGTTGCATCACCAGATTCTGCAGAATCTAGGGCTCATGTACTTCAAAACAAAAGCATTTGTACCTATTAGATATTAAGAAAAAGTAAAATGCATTTGACAAAATACAGATTTTGCTTCATCTCTCAGGCATAGCCTACTTAGATTGTTGAGAACTGACATCTAAAAAATATTTAATCTTGTTTTATGTTCCAATCAGTTCTAATGCTACCTCATTGTAATATGCTTATATAAACTTCATCTTGGCTAAGAGTTATATAATTCTTAAGAATTTTCCCGAGATCTGGACTAGGGGCACCCTGCACAGCTTAGATAGTTTTAGAGTTCAGCTTAGCTCTCCAGCTTTAATAGCATCGAGTTGTTGCAAGTAAATGTCCTAGTAATTAGGACTTTGTAATATAAATAGATGGTTAGCAGAGAATATGAGTTGCCTGATACAGTTAATTCAATGGTTATCTTCCCATGTTTTTAAATAACTTCAGCTTTCAAAAACTAACAACATCACTATTTTAGCATGGTTTAACAGCCTATCAGAATCCTCTTTGGCCAACAACTTTGAAGCCACTTCACCTAGTATATGATACAAAATTACTGTAAAAGCTGCATAACTTTCCTTTCTCAGCTTCTGTAATCTCCAATCATCATATTCATGGACATGCTTAATTCCTTTGAAGCACTTTTTTATAAATTTAGACACCAACACCAAAGCCCAAAAAGGGAAAAGGGGCCTCGAAACCCCGCTCTGATTTCTTTAACCGCTATTTCATGTAACAGGAAAACAACCAAGCCTGTCCTACATCAACATCGTTTTTGGAAATAGGAAGTAGGAACACATCAAAATAACTTTTCCTACCACCCTTTGCTGCCTCAAGTGCATTTTCTCACAGATATCAACGAATGTGTACTTAAGCATTCCTTCAAGTTAGAGGCATGTCTGTCTAAAGCATACTAAATTGCACAGACAACACTACAAAGCCCGGTTACACCCTTGAATTGTCAGTGATATACCCAATCGCATGCAAAATCACTAAGTACAGAAAGAAAGTTCTCTTTGAGCAAGAAAAAGTGTCAGATTAACCCAAAAAAGACAGAAAGTTAAACAAATCGATATTTAACTTTTGAAAGCATTTGAAACTAACTTTTTTTCAAAAAAAATTCAAACTAACAGTAAAACAATAACAAACTTACCCAATATAATCAGCAGATGAACGATCCAGTCCACTGCTTCCTGCCCAGGAGGATCCACGAAAAATATTACCTCCACCAACCACTATTGCAACCTGCTATATTGCTAGAACAGCTGAGAATCCATGAAAAATCCGAACAAGATCGCCATCAAGGAACTCATAGTAGTCTTATACTGATTTAATCATGGCACATGATCGAAAACAAGAAGTTCGAATAACAAATATGTAAATGAATAATTGAACAGCAGACAAACAGATAGCAATCCGGTCCACTACTTCCTGCCCAAGAGGATCCACCAAAAATATTACCTCCACTAACAACTGTGGCAAACCTACCACAATTTCTAGAAGATCTGAGAAATCTATGAAAAACCAGACCAACATTGCCATTAATGAGCTCATGCCAGATTTATTGATTTAACCGTGATATAAGATGGAAAATAAGAAGTTAGAATAGCAAATATGATTTCATGCAGCTTGATGCTACTCCTCTATAATTTACTGCCATTTCACGGTTTTTCCCCAAGGTTCGGCTCCCTGGCCATGGAAAACAATCTGGAAAATCTGTGTCCCTTACAAGGTTTATATTTTTCTCATGGATTTTGGCTAATGGCAAATGCCTCACTATTGACAAACTTCGAAATAGGGGACATTCTTTATGCAACAGGTGCTCCCTTTGTGAGAACGACAAAGAAGATGTTAATCATTTATTTCTTCACTGCAAGATCACATCCAGCATCTGGAATTTCATTTTTTGCATCTTGGACATCCGGTGTTGCATGTCAAGATCTACCTTGGATTCCTCCTAGCTTGACATAAAAAAGGATGACTAAATCTTCCTCCGAAACATGGAACTCCGTCCCTGCAGCTGTATTTGGATGGAAAGAAATGCTCGAGTCCCCGAAGACCTTTAGTGTAGTTAATCTTAAACTCAACTGTATATCCCTGCTGGGTTTTGGTGCACTACGGGTTTGGACAATTTGTTAGAGCCGAATACCACAACTGAGTATCTAAGTTCACTACATTTTTTGTAAGGGTGAAAATCATTTACACCCTCCAACTTTGCTTTAAAAATCATTCCCCCCTTAACTTTGAACAATAGTCATTCTCCCCCTCTTATCCTATGCAATATCAATTTTGCCCTTGACATTTTTAATTCTCCATCTATATAATACATTTTAATATTATATAGAATAATATTTTATTTTTTAACCTAGACATTTTACCTATAGTTTAAATAATTTTCTATCTTAGTGTAGATTTTCACTTAAGTTTATTAATATTATAAGTAAAATATTTTTTTAATAATTTTATTACAAAACCTAACGCAATTGTTTTTATGATTGTTATTTACATATTACATACATTAAGTATGTATATCTGAGTGTGTGCATACACATATATTTAAGTTTCGCTCTTTCTTATTCTCTATCATCTATATAGATAAATGATTTTTGATCGTCATTAATGAAATAATATTTAAATTATAATTTAGAATGCATTTACAATATAAATAGATAATCTTTTAGAATTCTGTTATAAAATTTATTTCTATTTTTATTTCATTAGTGGTGACTAAAATTCATTTATCTATATAGAATTCTATTATAAATTTATCTCTAATTTTATTCATTATCTTTGTATTACTTGCATTCAAATATTTATAAAGTTTTTACTCCCTTTTATTGTCACTTTATAAATATATATTAGAGCTTCGATTACAATAAATATATATTAAATTATTTTTATTCTGCCCATTTATTTCACTATAGAACATATTACTTAATTACTATTTCTCACTCTTCTTTTTTCGTCTCAGGAATAATTTTTCTTTTGTTATATAAATTTTAAAAAATTAAAGAAAAATATCATGATTTTAAAAAAGTAAAAAAAAAAAAAAAAAAAAAAAAAAAAAAAAAAAAAAAGAGAGACAAAGGTTGATATGTAAGGGTAAAAATAGGTATTAAAAAACTCAATGGACATAAAAGGGGGAGAATGATTATTGTTCAATGTTGAGGGGGGAGTTTGATTTTTAAAGCAAAGTTGAGGAGTAAAAATGATTTTCACCCTTTTCTGTAATGTCCTTATTCCCTTTTTTGGATATACTGCTAACAGCATTGCTCTTATGATGTGTGAGAATAGCACGGAAAAATTATATTATTGATATTAATTTACTATAATACAAGGAACCCTATTTATATAGGGTGTGTAAATATACCTAAAACCTTCACTATCAATGTGGGTCACTTATACAAACAACACACTCTATACATGAACTAACTCTAACATGCTGTTTTCTTTTCTTATTACATCAATAAAATTCTTAATTTACCCATCAAGAAAAAGAGCAAATATGAAAATCAACAATTGGTTCATATTTTCAAACACATTAATAATTTGCAAGTTCCCTTGAACGCAAGAAAGTTTCATTGGTATAAAATTTTAATGAAATAACAATAGTCCTTTTAGTTCAATCTCCTCAAAACGATCTTGAGCACTAACTAGTAGAAAATTTGGGTAAATATTTACTTCAGACAGCACAAGAATCGAAAAATGTACAAATGATTGTGATACGAATCCCAAGGTTGATGCTCCAGGAAAACCATGAATTATAGAGAAAACAATAATAAAACAATAGTCTAAGGATCCCACAGAAATAGGGATTGATAATATGGGACAAGTAAATGAACAAATTCAAACATTTCAGATGATGCACCAACTTCATATAATAAAAGAGTAAGGATCTTTAAGCAAGAGATATTTGATTTATTCAAAAACTTTACCTCAATTCCAAGACGAGTGACAGCTGCCACCTCCCTTGCGATGGCCATTGTGATCTGTATAACAACATGAAAGCTTTATGAAAGATCAGAAATCTAGAAAGAAGAACAGACAACACAGAAACATGGAGACATGTGAGCAGCTTTCCTATTCTGACCTTGGGATCAATGTTTTGTGCTTGATCTCCTGCTAGTGCCTCACCACTAACTTTAAGCAGCACTCTACGCCATCTATATGATGGTTTAGAAGTCCCATTATCTGTGATCGTGACACCAAAAGAAGCTATAGGAGATAACTCTGGTTTCCTATCACAGAACATGTATACAAGGAAATTGATTTAAGGAACACACAGCTTCATGGGAAGCAAAGCACAACATTAAATTCCAAGGGCTAATAATACATATAACAGGTTAATGTTACGGACTATTAAGTTATACCTAAAGTGACACTGCATCACACAAGTGTTGTCAAAGGCGAAAAGCTCTAAAAAGTGCTCCAGGTTATTGGGACTTTAAGCGCAAAATGCAATTAAAGTGCAGGCTTTAGTAAAAAAAGGTGCAACGAAGGAAAAATAAAAATATATATGTAATTCAAGAAAACAGAAACAAATTTCATTCATAATGTTTTCCTCAACAACTGATATTCTTTTTTGCCAATTATATTTGTTGTTTAGTACTGCTCGATTCAAGATAAAACTCATGGGCTATGAGTTACACGCCTTAGTGCCTTGCCTACACTAAACCGCAGCTTAAGCGAGGCGAAGCGGCCTCACTGAGCTTTCCTGAGCTTCAGGGCTTAAGCGCGCCTTAAATGAGCCTTCGACAACACTACACACGCATAAGATAGAACATTGACGTTATTAAAAAATTCAAGGTCATACATAAGGTATCACTAGCATGACGAATAAAATGCCTAAAAGTGGAAAAAATACATTACTGATGTTAAAATACCAAGGATTACATGTAAAACATTTTTGGTATTGGTACTAAAGCATTCAACCCAAGGTAAATAGGGTAAACTGCAGTTCTTGCAATTAGTGATACATTTACTCAGTGAAAGAAAAAAGAAAGTTGGAATAACTAGCCTATTCAACAAAAAGTATAAAAGTTTTGAGATTATTAGCTGACTGAACAGAAAGAATGACCTCCATCTAATCGAAGATTTCACACTTAGGCTGCTAAATTTATGAAATTCTACTCTTATTATAAAGTACTTTAAAGTAAAAGACTTCCTAAACCCTTAAAAATCAGATGCAAAAACGGTTGTGCTCGTGTTTAACAACTCATAACCGTCCCCCGGACAATCTGTTTCTCTTAAACTAGGATACATAAAATGATATGGAGTAACAAAAATGAAAAGAAAAAAAAAGGGCAATAAGGCAACACAGAAAGGAGCGTTAACACTGCCCAATTCATTACAATACCTGCCATTCAAGTGGTCTGGAGATTTGCCCATGTGAGACGAACAACATTTTACGACCAAAGAATGAAAAGAGTCATCAAGTTTGAAGTGGTGGTGTAGGGGTTTGAAGAAATAGAGAGACGGCGAAGAGATAGCATTGAAAGATGAAATGGGCCGGCAAAAGGATGTAGAGATAGCCATGGAAAAAAAAAACAAATTACTCTCAAAGGAAAACCGAAATTTGAGAAATCGCACGGAATACGATGTTCAAATCAACGCCCTTTTGTTCAATTCTCCTTTGCTTTTCGGTTGTTGTACAAGGTGGGAATATTCTTTCCGGATAATGTTAGATGTTTGGGCTTTTGAAACATGTCATCTCCCGAGGAATATATTTGAGAAAGACCCAAAATAGTCCACTATCTTTGGACTTTAACTCAAATTATTCCTATTTCTTTCACATTGAGCACTAATAGTCCATATCTTTAATAAAGTGGTACACTTTTAGTCTTCATGTTTGATATGAAAAAAAATATTTTCCGAAAAATATTTTTTGATTTTCTCATGTTTGGTTGGATTAAATGTTTTGAAAAATATTTTTCTCATGAACTCATTTTTCTCCAATTGGAGGAAAATGTTTTCCCTGTCAAGAGAAGGAAAAATATTTTTCAAAATTTTTTTTTAACCTTCCACACCCTTTTCTTCAAACTTTTCTTCATTGTTTACACTTTCTAGCCATATACATAGATTATACATTTATTATACATAATTGTACACAAATAATACATAAATTATACATATATTATACCTCCACTGATTATTTTTAGTCTAAGCAGTTAGGTAGGCGGCTATTTGGGTTAATTCTTCTTCTTTTTATGATGTAGAAAAAGTATTTTCTTTCATTTGTATAAAATGATGTAGCAAAAAGTATTTTCTTTTCATGATATAGAAAAAGTATTTTCTTTCATTTGTATAAAATGATGTAGCAAAAAGTATTTTCTTTTCATGATATAGAAAAAGTATTTTCTTTCATTTTAACAAAATGAGTACTTTTTCATGTTCTAGAAAGAGTACTTTCTTTTTCAACCAAAAAAAAATATTTTTTTTTTAGTTGTATAACACAAATTTCAACATTATTTTTGCGAGAAAAGGTAAAGCAACACATTAATCCTTTTGGTTTGTGTAAAGTTTTAAAAGAATAATTAAATTCTTGAGAAAAATAGAGTCTTAAAAACGTTGGGTAATTGGGGTTAGGGGGAGGGGAGGGGAGGGGAAAGGGGAGCACGGGAAATATGGGGATTTGGGAGAAGGGGGAGGAGGTAAGAAAAGTAGCATAAAAAAATTTCTAAAAAATTATTTTACTCTCTAAACAAACACTAGAAAAAAAAATTTGAAAAATTTTTCACTCACCAACCATACAAGGAAAAATAAATGATAACCGCTCATTTTCTAGAAAAATATTTTTTTTCATATCAAACATGGAGACTAAAAGTGTACCACTTTATTAAAGAATGTGGACTATTAAGACTCCATGTGAAAGAAATATGACTAGTTTGAGTTAAAGTCCAAAGATACTAGACTATTTTGGGCCTTTTTTCGAAAATATCTCTTGCCGCACTCCAAGCAGAAAAGAAAAATCTGAGCTTTGCTCTCTTTCAATTTATGCTTCTAATCCATTAGGCTACCAATGGCTAACATTACATTACATTACTTTACTTTACTATATTATCGAAAAGCCAAGTTTCGACCTGGTTGCTTCCGGTCATTAACATTATAGTTAAGGGTATTTTCGACTTTGTATAGTAGTATTTATAAAAACGTGTCTTCTATCCTAAACCTAAATAGGCACGTATCATTGTTTTACACCTTATTTATCTATTTTCTTCGGCTCTATCGCCTTTCCTTGGCCACTTTTAACATTGCTTCGCTCCTACATAGCCTTTTCCGGTGAGTTTTATCCCCGGTATTGCTGCTCAGCCCTTTTTCTCTATTCTTCATCTCTTTTTCTTTCTAATTTTTTATCGTTGATTTACCTTTGCGTTGCATGCTTCTATCTTCATCTGGTTTCTGTTTCAGTAGTTAAAAGATGAGCATAACCAGAGACAGCCTTAGTATTGTTTACCTTCAAAATCGGATAACAATTAAATTTGTATGTGGTTTTAAAGATACGCGGATTAATTTGATACAAAGCGATAAATTAAGTCAAATTGAACAAACAAAGATAAAATAGATTCAAACCACACAAGGAGGATAGTTTCAGCCTTAATGAAGTACTCGCCCTCGATCCGGGCTCACTATGGCCAGCACTGATGAATAAGAGAAAGAGCTAATAACAGAAAAAATAATAATATATTACTTTGAAATGCGTGTTACAGTGTGTCCTTTGAATAAAAATCATCTCTTTTATATAGTAGGAGATTTCATCCCTAGTACAATTCTAAAAAAGGTAAAAATCTTCTTTTTCGTAAATCACTAATCTGCTGTCGATGCGGGTCGAGATCCGCGTCATGATATCCGGTCGGGCGTGGATATCACGGCCCTTCGTTAGTCATGTGCATCCGTTTGGTAAGGCTTTTTCGAGGTTTTGGAGCTTGAACCGAATCCGGGGGCGTGGTCTCGATGGCTCCGGTGATAAGCGATTTGTTCGGGCCCTAGCACAAGAGGTATATCCGGCCGGTCCAGGACATAACAGCACTCTGTTGGTCGTGCTTGATTGCCCGACAATGTTCTTCGAAGTCGTTCAAGGCTAGGACTGATTCCGAACCATGACTCAATGAGACTCTTGTCCCGATTTTGGTCCCCTGTCATCATGTCTCGAGCTAAACTTATTTTGTCGGAGGTCGGGGTATACCATGAGTCCGATTTTGACCGTATACAGATAGTCCCCTCATTTCTCAGAGAGTAAATGACGAGAAACGACATGAGCTCCCGATTCTTACTTCGACACATCGCGTCAGAAACGACAAAACATCTTAAATGTCTCGTCAGTCATATCATAATGGCATTAAATGCATGTCAGCAGCCGATCGGCCGTCCCTGGACATGAAACGTCACTGAACTCCTATAAATACCCCCTCTCTTATCCATTTTTCACTTTACACCAAATCTTCTACCTTCGTACCTCTAGGACTTCAACATTATCTAGCGTTTTTACCCCCATTACTCAAGGTTCTTCAGTACTTTGCGAAAACTTTTACTCATCTCCTACTCAAGCCAACAAGTCTGATCTTTCAACTTTCATTCTTTTTCCATTTTTTCCAAGCTTTTATTTCAATAACAATGGCAAAAACCTCGAAATCTATTCCTCATAAGGATGCTCCTTCTTCCTCGTGACTGACCACTAAGGTCGAGGATACCGTTCCCGATACGATTGTTGATGAATCGGCAGAAGAGCCTCCCTTGAAGAAGTTCATTCCCGGTGGTTGTTCGGTCAGCGGCGACTTTAAAGTTGAGAAGCCTTCTTCTGTACAGGGTCGGTGTGAGGAGGCCTCGATATACATCTGCTCAATTACCGAAGAGGTCCTCCCTACGGTCCGGAAATACTACAACTGGGCCGACAAAGACACAGTGGTCCCCGACCCCGAAAAGGCCATTACCACCCATGTCGAGGGATATCTAAGTGTTTACACTTATCCCTTTATATTGGACCCGGTAGACCCGGTCATTTTAGACTTCTGCAAGAGGTACAATGTGTGCCTAGGCCAGATTCATCCATCACTGTGGAGGATTGTGATCCTCCTCCGATTTGTTGTGAACAAAATCGATGGGTGCTCGTTCACCATCGATCATCTACTCCGCTTATACAGTCCCCGAATCTTCCGGAGGGGACTCATAAAGCTAGTACGCCGGGCCAGCAAAGCCTCATTCTTGAATGTTATCCCTCGACTCAAGGAGTGGGTCAAGGGCATTGTGTCACAGATGCCCTACTCCGAGTGCTCATGGCGCAAATTTTCAAAAGGTCGTTGGGAGGCCCATTCCCATGGTAAGGTTCTTTTCCCGAACAAGTTGTAGTGAACGTTTTCTTCTAACATCGCGTCCTTATCTCCTTTACTTTCCTTTACAGGTTTGCCTAAGAACATCGAGCTTAGGCCTTCGGTTAGGGATAAGGACTTGTATGTTGAGTCTCCTGGTCCGGGGCAATCCTGAGAGAGGAAGAGGAGGGGGGGCTCCGAGTTCCCCGAGCCAAAGGAAAACACCAACTCCTGAGTACCAACTTCGGTCTTGCTCTATCGGCTTAGGGACGAGCCAGAGAAGGAAGAGCCTTTTTTTTGTGGCTCGCGAGCCCTAGCCCCTCGAAGAGCAGGGGGTCATCGAAATAGAGACCTATGAGGGCAATCTACCTTAGGCCAGGGAGGTCGATGAGGAGGCCGGGGCTGAGGCTTCCAGGGATGCGGGCAGTGCCCCGAAGGAGGCACTTGGTGTGATAGACATCACCGAGTCGCCCTCGTTTATCGAGTTGATGTACAACGAGGCCCAAACTGTGAAAGAATGACCCAACGAGGGGGCCCACGGAGTGGACAATCCTCTCTGTTGTTTGTTTTATGATGTGGATTCCATCGTACACGGAGGACGTCACCGGGTTAGGTCACTTAGAGGTATCGAGGAAAAGTCCATCCTCGGGGGCAGGTAGGCCTAACTCGAGCCCGAGACTGGTCAACCGATTCCCTGCCCCGAGTGTGGATCCTGGTCGGAAGCGATAAATTATCATCACCGTTCCGGAGGATGCTTAGGTTCTTTCTACCCCTGTAAGGATAGCCAGTTACTTCCGTTGCTTGGTGGCTGAGGAAGACCAAGCCAAAATGAACGAGGTTTACTCACCATGCCTGTTTAACGAAGCACAACAGGCGTTAAACCGGGTAACTCTTGATAATCCCTGATGATTCCAATTTTTCTTCTGATATTTGAACTTCTTTTTTGATAATTCTAATATCTTTCCTCGTATTTGTAAGCCTCGGTACTCCACCATGAGACCTTCCTCCGGTACTGAGATGAGTTGAGCCAACTCGAGGCCAAAGCCAAAGAGCTTGCTGAGAAAAGAAACATGTATAAACATCTCAGCGAGCAATTCGAGGGTGAAATCAAGAGCCTCTGAGCCTAGTTGGATGCGGCTCAGAAGGAACAAGCCGACCTGTTGGAACAGGTAAAATTTTTTGAGGTTAGTGATGATGAGGTAGACACAGTGTCTAACGGTCAGAATCCACAGGTCCAGCAGAAGGTAGATCGGGTTGACCATCTGCGGGCTGAGATGGATGAAGTCAAGGCCCTGGCCGAGGAGTGGAAGGGCAAGATGGACCGGTTGGCTTCTTAAAAGGAAAGAGCTCGGGAGAAATTGGCCTCGGCATAGGCCCA